AAAGATCGCACGATTTGTAAAGATAAATGGTCTTACCTCGCGATCGTGCACATGCTGCACGTGACGATATTATTTGTGAATGAAATGCAGGTCAAGCACAATCTCCTTTATATTGAATTTGGGCCGTGAAGTTCTCTTGTGAATGTTGAAGCACCATTAATACCCGAACCAAACGAAACGAGCGCGCGTCAACGACTGAGTGGAGGCAGCGGGAGCACGAGTTAAGAGTAGTACGAAGAGTGTCGGTGACCACCGAAGATGCCCGAAGTTGGATTCGAAAAGCCGATTCTTGTCAACTCGCGACCCTACCATTTTCAACCCTTTCGTTTTATCCCTAATTAAGATCGGTAAACACAGGTCTTCGTTGACTTTTGTAGATGCATCCCCGCGTGCATTCCGCTATCTTGTACATGCAGCAAGTGTCACTTCCCTCCGCTAAAATAATTCCGTCTGCCATTTCTCGAGAACCGAATTACAAAAATTCTACCGAAATATTTCCCTTTATTTTCCTTTTATCGTAGAATCCTTTCTGCCTTAAAATTCATTAAAATATTATTTTAAAAGAAATATCTTCCACAATTTTTCGTCTAACCTGTTCTATGTCTTATCTATCAATAATAGTAATAATTAAAGTACGAAGTAAATTACGAAAAGGCAAAGTGAAAGATTTTCATGCAATCATTTGCAGACATTTGCAAACGTTTAAAAAATATATTCTCGGAAGAGAGAGAAAGAAAAATTCATTACACACTTTGATACTCGTTACATCGAGGAAGTTATAACGTTCATTTGTATTAACCGATATATAACGATACGCAATATACTTTGTAACATACGAAAGGAAGGCCGAGCCGTTTCCCACAGAACATGTTTGTATCAGGATGTATACAGTCGTTGTGCATAATCGCGTGCATTTGTAACCAAGTCGAGGATGCCGTTGCACTCGAAACATAAATTATGAGCGCGACACAGAATTCAACGATGTCTTTATTGCGACCGATATCTCTTCTGCACGTACACGTATCTCGTTTTCCAATGTGATTCTATATTAGTCGATGCGAAATCTCTCGAATTCAGTATCACACCTGTCTTAACATCAAATACATCTCAATATTTCTGGTGTTTTCTATTTCAAAAATATCTTCATATATTCTTGAATTACCACGATAACACGTCTGCGCTAACACGCTTCCTTTCCTTTGAACGTACGCTGGAACGAATCACTCTTCTCCGAAATGCTATCTGTTGACACAAGTCATTTTCATAAACGTAGAACAACGCGGTACTTCGTTTCTTTTCCCTGTTCTTCACGCATGGCCCACGATAAAAAAAGAGCTACTCGAACAGATGTCGATGGAAGAACATTCACAATGCATCAGCCGTAGAAATATGGTAGGAATACGGGATGAAAAACACCGAGGAGAAAGTTTAATTAAAGTTCGAGTTGGATAAAAAGACGAATACTATTTATATACTTTTTCGACGAATGAATTCAAAGGGAGATCCAATCCAATCAAGTATCATTTCTTTTTCATCGCATTATTAGGAGTGGTTCGACCAAAGAATTCCATCCCGATCAAAGGACCTATCGTTTCAGACTTTCGAGAGAACATTTTTAAGAGTTGGAAGGAGATTTATCGATTAATCTGTTGTCTAAGCAATTTTTACGCCGATGTATATTCAGGACCAGTTGGTTGCAGGCGGCGCCAAAGCGATTAGACACTCGTCGACATGATAACAGGAAATAACGACCATGTTACGTACGACGATATCTTTTATGCAAACACGCCCTTTATTTAGTTTAAATCCAATTCTTCCACGCAGTCGTCGTAGGCGGTTTTACGTAACGATAGGAAAGATATGAAAAATGAGGCCACGAAATATGCCAGTAAATTCAAAAATTCGATGGTTTAATCAGGAATTTGAGCAACGAATACCTAAAAAAAAAAAATAAAAAAATTATGTTAGAAAAATAATGATTGGAATTGACAGAAAAACATTTCGATGTGAATTTTGTTAAATTAGCTAACAGTGAAAAGATGATATAAAAATGTAAATATAATTTTCTTAATACTGAACGTGAATGTCATAAACGTCAACTTGGTTTAAAGAATCATTATGAATAAGTTGGAAATAACGTTAAATTGCCCGCTAACTGTTATTGCTTTCAAGTAAAGCAAAGTAACAGATTCGAACTGGCAAAATATTTCAAATTACTTCGATTCAAGGGACGTGACAAGTCGCATAACTTGACTAATAGAACAGGCGTAGAAAATCCAAAGGATATTTCAAATCAACGAAATAGCACATAAAGAAATCTCGACTCGACTCGTTTGAACTCGGCTTTATCTTAGAAGAAAAAACAGTTACGATAGCTGTTTCCACGGTGAAAAACGTTATTCCCCTGAATCAACAATAAGAAATACTAATCTTCTGAGAAATCACGATCGAACTCGATTCTGTTTCTGGCGAAATCTCAAAGCCAAGAGAAGAAAGAGGAAGGGGGGGGGGAGGGCGGCGAGACGTACGTAAGAATAAGAGGAGGGGAGGCCTCGTGCAAGGCCTTTTGAACCCTTGAAATATTTAGCATTTCTCGATGCAGTCGGCAGTAAATAATTTTGCAGCCGAGTCAGGACCAATGGGCACGTGCATAAGATATGCATCGCGCGGCGACGACGCGGTTTTGCTCCCTTTTCTCGCGCCGTGCACGAAATCGAGCCCGGTGCCTTCGCTCTTTTCGATCGTAAATAAGCGGCCCGTTTCTATCCCTCTTTTTTTCTTTTTAAAACCACGATACATTCGAATACTCTGCACAACACGAGGTTTCCGTCCAACCATTACCATTCTCCGCACCCTCGTCGCCTCTTTTCTTTCCCCTCCCTCGTTAGTAGACTGACCAACCGCCGTTCCATGCCGCTTTCTCGACGCGTCATAAAAACGAGACAACGTGCTTTACGATCTCGCCTCCTGTCTTTTTGTCTCGAGAATCCGAGCGACGCGTGCTCCCAACCGCAAAGAAACACTTATTAACATATTTGCCCCTATACGATGCTCTCTCCTCTTCCTTCCACTCCCTCGCTTTCTTTTCACGGATAATTTGTTACGATACGACTGGAAAAAACCGGGTTGAAGAAGAGTCGAGTATAAATTAGACGGAAAGGATAAAAAAGAATATAAATATATATATATTCGGAATGGAAAAAGGATACGTCTGTACTTTTGCGATAATATCTTCTTAGATAACCGTTTTACCTCGTAATTCAGGATAAAATTACGATTCTTCTATATCGATCGTGAATCTGATTCGAGACTGTTCTCTGGTTAATTGCGGTCACGGGTACACGGGTGTTTGTGACGTGGAAATAAAATAACCCCCTTATCGATGTAGCTCCCATTAAAACGATTGCAACGTACCACCTACCAATCTAATTCCGTTAAAACGTTCCTGCTACGTGTTTTTCCCGGGATTAATCTCGTAACCATGACTTCGTATCCTCCCCCCTCCTCTCCCTCTAGAAGCTTCTCTATTGGAAATATTATTACCTCGGACGAGAGTTGATTTGTACAATGATGACGTGTCCCAGAAACAAGGAAATATCAACGTTCGGGAAATTTCACTAGTAACGGTAATAATTGGCTAATGAAATAAATTTATCAGGAAGGAAAATATATCGTATCGATATGTCGTCGTATCATAAATCTCAAGTGAAATCGACGATAAAGGTTCCTAAGCGTCGTCGAAAAAAATCCACAGCTTCCAATAACCTATACGTATCACCCTCTTTGATCGACAAGTTTCAAAAGTGAGTAACAAGATTTATATAAAAGTCGAAACTAAATTAAACGTGAAGAAGAAATTTCGAATTAATATTATTTTCTTGCAATTTTATACTTCTAAGTAAAAATATTTTACGTTGGATAATCGATTTTGTTCTTATTACGTGATATATGCGTGAACTTTCCATCATTTCTGATTAACATATATTTGTATCTGTACTAGTTTATCTTTTGAAAAAAATAGATGCGATGACGCATTTGGAAATTACAGAGGCCTTACATCGAATACTTTCGAAACGATTTGAACCAAACTTTTCAAATGTTTATCCTGTATTCAATTGAGTTAAATTACCGTGAATGGCAAGAAGCGTGAAGATCCCTAAATGGGAATCCTAGCAGCTGACATCGATTTTTCTTACCGTCGTCACATTATCACATCGTCGATTCATCTTAAATTCATCACGCATAAAATTGACCGCGCATCAGAAAATTATAAATTTGAAGGCAGCTAGCTATATAATACCTTACATTCTTTCGTATAATGAATAATTCATACAATTCTAGGCGATTGTCGCGAAAACGGTTATCGAGATTCTTGCAAAATTCTTTTTCTTTAATTATTCGATCAACGGTCCACCGTGTTCCTCTCCATTCGCTATAATTTCTCGCAAATTGCCTGTCACGATGAATTAACCAATATACTTGGATAACTCGTGCGTTTCACCGACTAACGTAACGGAAATGAACGTTCCCGTAACGGTACGTATGTCAATCGCGGATGATCAAACGGTAGTGGTTAGATTAGAAGACTCGTGACGTACTTTCAACTCATTTCTGCCACGGACGTTCTATTTGACTCTCGTTCTTATCTTCCACGTTAATTACACAAAATTACCGTTGTACATGGAGAAAAAAATGGTACACTTCTTGGATACGATTTCGTGATAATCGCCGATCACTCGTCCTCCATCGTCACGCTTATTACCAAACCTGTATTACCGTGCTAAATAATCGCCACCTTTGCCTCGTTTCGTATATTTTTTTCTTCCCTTACTCTTTTATATCGTGTCTGATATAAGCAAGCTTGATCGTATAGCTCGGATTTATTTAAACATCATACCGCGAGTAATTTCGAGCGCAAGTGGGTTAAGACCGACTTGTAAACGATTCGAGAAAAGTAAGAGGCACTCAACGAACGTAACGACGAACAAACGAGTCCGTGAAGAACACGCGAGCACGCATCCGGCGTAACGACATCTTGTACATCGAACCGTCGTTATTTTAACACGCAACCATTATCTTTTCCAAGGTACGTAGGGGGAGAGCAAAAATCCGACTCCTTGAAAATATCGTCGAACAATGGGGACAACAAGAAATCCAAGAAAACTAAGGAAACCAAGGAATCGAAGGAATCGAAAGAGACCGAGAAGAAAAAAGGTTCCAAGGATGTGAGGTTGATGTCGAATCTTCCTAACGACACGGCGGTACACTTTGGAAGTTTTTATGGTGTCGAAGGAAACGTGAATAAACCACGAACGACCAAAGTAAAGAATTCCATGGACTCTATTAATTTATCGTACAAATCGATACCGAGACTGGAATTTACTAGGCAAATGGTCCAGAAGTAAACGAATTAAATACTTGAAATACATTGTCGTTTAAAAGTATCCAGACATTTAATTATTTTTGATAGAATGCAATTCGAATAACTGGATTCAGTTCATTGGCTCAATAATTTTTTTCTGATAATTACTTCTTTTTCTTTTTCTTTATGATTATTACAAAGCGATAAAATTAATTTCACGAAAGTAATATGGAACGAGAAAATTGAATTTCATACTTAGTTAAACTTGGCAGAAATAATTTATTATAATTTCGATAAATTTTTAATCTTTTAATAATATAAAGAAGATGCTTGTAATAAACAGTTATGAATTGGTAATTGTTAATTAATATACCGATAATATTCAAAATTGATAAATGTATCGTCGAATCGTGTACATAATTGTGATAAATATAAATATTTAATAAATTTATAATCTGCTGATTTCTTAAGAAGATAGTAACTGTTATTTCTTCATTAAAGATTCATTCAAGATTAATTAAGTTGAAATCTTGTTTATGTATGAGACAAAAAAAAAAAAAAGAAAAAATTGAAATTAAAATTTTTCATACAAATAGAACACTTGTTTCCAGTGCAATGATTGAATATAAAAATATTACATCATACGATAAACAAATAATTATACATTACTTTTTCTTTAAATCGAGCAAAGTGTCTGGATACTGATGAACAGTTGTGTATGTCGGATAAAGGGAAGCATAAGGAAATCGTATTCCAATTAATTCCCAGACTGGAACGAACAGCTGGTACGGAGGACTACGCGCGACAAGTGTCAGCCTTATTGGAGGAGACGGTCGAACCGGCGCATTTCAAACTGCATTCTCTGCCAACCGAGAATTCGATTCCAGACGGGAGATACAATCCCACGGGATTCCCTCTCTGGTACAAGGAACCTTATAAAATACCGTTAGTATTCCTTCACTTGGTTACGTCATTCGATCTATTCCCGTTACCAGAGGGATTGCACGCGTTACTGGAAAATGGGATAGATTCTGGAGAGCGCGATAATGAGAGAATTTCTCCATTAAGAATGAATAACGCGGACATCCATCGGCCAAATAACAAATAATAAAATTGAACGAGAAATCTCTATAGGATCCCTCTAATCCTTCTAATGGACTGATGAATTTTTAGATTCGCTTCGGATGAGATTTATAAACTTTTAAAAGAGAAACTTGATAACATGGAAGGAAAAGCGAGAAATATCTTCGAGGATGAATCTCCGGAGAAAAGTTCGTTAGAAGAATTCAGCGAAGATGAGCAAATGGAGTATGGTGAAAATGACGACGACATACACGATATACTGAAGAGAGGAAAATCGTCGATACATTTGTTGTCGAATAAATCGTCTTCTCTTACCGAGGCGAAGGACACAGATTCGAAGGAAAGCAGTGAAATTTCTTTGAATGTGAAACCGAATAAATCAACTTTGCCGCATCAACGCTGAAGCGGTTTTATGAACATCTGAAAAATAAACAATTAAATATTAATTGCAGAAATAGAATTTCCTGTATACTTATTAAGAAATGCAATTAGGATATAAAATAGAACTTTCGGTTGATTCGATCAAAAGGTTTTGTAATGTTGTTCCTTGTTACGAGTATTCAGATTTTTCTAGACAGAAATAGACTGTTAATTAACATTTCTCTATTAACCATTCTATTTATTACGAGGTGCATATCACGATTCGGAGAATTCATCTTGATTCATTTACGTTAATTAGACGCCTTCATTATTATTCGGTTGCGCATCCTGTAATTATGTACAAAATTACAATGGATCTAACTCTGTCATGAATTCATTAATTAATGATGAAAAGATCTTGCAAAAGACGAGAAACTTGTATTAGGTGACGAATTACCGGATATTCTATGTACTTCATTTCCGCCTATTCTGATCTTTTGGATTCTAACGTTTCTCTTATGAAACATTACAATGCCAATAAATATTCACTAGCCGATCTTGTAAATATTCGTCAAAAAAAAAAAAAAAAAAATAGAAATAAGTCTATTTATTTAAAAAATCAAATATTATTTATATTTTCGTTCGATGAAAAGGAAAAGAGATCGAAACGTTGAACGACTAATGATGGAATTATAGTTAATGCAAAAAGAATGGAATTCGATATCATAAGGCCAACGAACGACGTGGTTTCCCGTTTAGTAAAGAGGGTGGCATTACCCGACTTGGAGTGTTCGCATTGTTTTCGGTTCAGTGGAAATGCAAGAGGGCGCAGGATGGGGTCGGCACTTATCGATTATTCCGTCTACTAAGCCAAAGACGCTTTTCATGTATATTTAACGTGATCGAAAATTAGATTTTTGTGATCAAAAAGTACTTTGAAAAAAATAAGGAAAAATCAATGACGCTCGAACATTAAAAAAATGAGAGAAAGGAAAATTTTCGAGTTTAGTTATAGGGGAATTTTTCTTCTTCGATTATACAAATACTCTGTTTAACAGAAAAGTATAGTATATACATATACATTTTATTTTTTTTTCTTTTTTTTTTTTTTTCTTTTTTTTTTGTGAATCTGTACAGAATGGTCCACAAGGAATCGAAGACTTATTTTGAATAAGTTATTTAACCATCGAGGCCATAAACTTGAAGTATCGTAACTGGGGGCACCGGATTAACTTACATCTGTGAAAAAAGGATATAATCTGATAATATTATACGCTGTTCGTGGTTTGTAGACACAAAAATCCCTTGATCTATTCATAATCCAATGCAATCTGGTGAATGGCAGTTTGTATCCGAGATTGAACTCTGTTGCATTTAGAATAAATCGCTGTACAAAGCTTCAATTAAAAATCTATTCGTTCTTCTAACTGCCCTCTTCAGAGAAAACAAACGAGCAACCACTCCCATGAAGAGAAAAATTGCACCACTGTCCACTAGTACGAGGAACTTCCTCCTTTCTATCTTTCTCGATCCTTGAACATAATCCAAGGCTATTGAAGTACAGTAAAATATATCGGTCTATCTTGATATAACAATGCGCGTTTCTGTACTCCACATAATAAAAATTTTTTTATATTTTTTTTATATATTTTTTGGAGCTTAACGCGACTAGCTCCCATCAGATTGGTACTTCCGAGGCCTTCCCTAGGTCTTTTTCCACGAATAATACATTTCCAGGGGTCGATTTACGCGCCAGAATTTATCATTGACTTGTCTTAAAGTTTGAGATCCACTTAAAACCACTAATTGACCGGGAGAAGGTGCTATATAAATACAAAAATTGAGTAGCCTGTCTGATTCTGATAATTCTGTATCCAGATCCAATGTTAGTCGCATAGCCAGGTACTTGCTCAGATGATCAACTATAAAAATTAACAATTATCGTTCATTTTTTGGACATTCCACTTAAATTTACAATTATGTAAAATATTCACCTGTCGCGTTAGCTGTTGTTTTGATATATCGAATACTATTTTCTTTCAACGCTTTTATAAGTGAATTATCCCCGGCCATCTCCGTGGGATGTGGTTTAAAAACAAGTTCAATCTCGTTTAACATCAAGGGTTCACTAGGACCTTCACCCTCTGTATCTACCATGGAATCACCACCACCAGTTTCAGCTTCTGCACTAGATGAATCATTTTCGGAATTTTGTAAACTTTTTTGTCGTTTTGGTGGTTTTGGAATTTGATTTGCAGGATTTGGCGATGGTGTAGTAGAATTCCTAGAAGTTGTACCTGAAATTGATTATTTTACTCGTATAATATCCATCTACTAAATTTTTTTTTCATTAGCAAGAACAATAAAATGCTAATAGAATATTAACACAGAATAAAATCTTTTAAGTCACCTCCGCTACTATTATTTAAAGGTCCTGTTGTACTTTGAGAAGAATCGCTTTGATTCGCAGCATTCGTAGCATTTGGCGTAGCTGGTGCACTGGCATTTTGAGAATTATTGTAAGATGTTGCGTTACTAGCATTCTCTGATTCATTGGCATTTTTTCTGGATCTTTGAGAACGATTTTGGCTTTGTAATTTGATTCCCTCTGTAATAGAATTTACCAATGCAGCCTGTGAATGTGACTTGTTCAATTTTGCCAATACTCTCTCTTGATGTGCCTCATATTCATCACGGCTAGGATATATCTTAGAAATCAATAGATCAAAATTAGGATCTGGTCTTAAAGATCTTTTGGAGACCAATTTCTTTCTGCATGTTGGACATTCCTACGAACAGAATTTTTGATGATTTACATATTTTTCAAAACTATTCTAACCTCTATTCGTACTTGAACTCAATGGCAATTGTAAAATCCATGATAAAATCCAAATCACTACCACAAAAAGGTTCACTCTAAAGATAAACCAAACATACGAATAAATATATGTTCATTAAATATTTTGAAATAATAATTTATCAACATTCATAGAGTCAAGAGTACAAATTATTCCAACATTGGATAAAAAATAAATTTAAATCCATCGATAATTAATATAATATTCAATTTCTTCAACTCAGATTATAGAAATAATAAAAAGAAAACACGACGAAGTATTATTTACGGCGCATTTCAAAAAGCGCGCTAAAATTAGTGTCTGACAAAACAAACCAAATATAACTACAATCGTATTTTTTTCTTTTACAAAAAATTACTTTAATCTTTGACTCTTAAAATTACTATCAAAATCTATACTGCAAAAATACGAAGTTGTGTTTACGCAAAATGATATGATATATAGTGAAATGAAAAAAGAAACAATGACAGGATACTGACCAAGTGTCAGTGACTGATTTTTAATGGATTATGAAACTTTTAGAAACACTGTGCCATGAAAGTACATAATAACTTATTATTATCAGAATAATTTCAGAAAAAGCACATACCTTATTACCGCTCCTAAGTGCTGTAATGATACAATCGGAACAGAACCGATGTAAGCACTCTTTGGTAGTCATAGTTTTTTTAAGCATATCCAAACAAATCGGGCACATAAGTTCACTGTGTAAACTTCGCGGACTGACCGCAATCTCTGTATTGTCAGTAATTGCATCCTGAGGAGTACGATGAAGTTCGTAAAGTGATAATTCCCAAGTTTTGTTCAGACCGACTTGTTCCGCGGAAGCCATCTTGACTACATACAAGCCATCAGCTGAAAAACCTGACACACACACAACTCTCGGAACGCGGTTAGAGCCATCTTACGGCAAACCTTATGAACTATCGAATTTAATTCCAATCAGTAACGAAGTTAAGAAGCAAAAAATTCTATGGTATTCGTTTCGGGTTTCCTTTTTATTCGTGCATACCATTGCAAACTTTAATGCAAACTCTAATTGGTATAATAAACAAGTTCAATCATAATGATTACAATAAAAAATAAATAGTAAAAAATTGAACGTACAAGATGAAGAAATTAGAAGATTGAAAACGGAAACACGATCTATATAATTACAGAAATAGAAAAACATAACGTAAAAGAATCTTTGATAAAAGAACAGAAAATCTTAGCTCATAAGGTTTAATTTTCTTTTTAATTGCAAAATAAGAATAATAAGAAAATTGATCGGAATTTTGTTAAAATGAATACAAAAAAGCATTTCGATGGATGTCGATAAAATGAATTTCTACAATTAAGCGGCGGGAGCGTTCAAAAATATTTAACGAATTACAATTTGATAAATTAATCGGTACAGCCATTTATTTTGCGTTATAATAATATGCGTTCGAATCAACTGAATCCCAGCTCTAATTAATACTCAAATGATCGTATCGCTGTAGCAAACGTGAAGGAAGCGTGAAAAATGTAGCTACATAGAGGGCGAGAAGGCGCATAAGCGTAGGCAAAATATGTTTCCTCGTTATAAATAATATAACGGTATATAATACCGTCTAAGATGGGCGTAGGCTCGGCCATTAATGCCGTATACACCAGATAAGTCTTTCTAAGCGAACGAGTTCAGAGATGCATTCGTGCACCGATCCAACATAGCAAACTAGACCGTCGAGACCCGAACTCCTTTTTTCTCTGACCTTAACTATAGATAACCGTAATTGCGTCTGTCGGTACTTATTGGGAAAACGTGTTTTATCACCTCTCTCCACCGATACCATCTTCAATCACTACGTTATTCGAGCGTTATTCGATCTCTTGCTACTGTATTCTTCTTAACTTGAACTTCGACGTTCGAGGAAAGATATCCAAGATCGAAATTCGTGTCTAATGTCTTAATTATACATTAATTATCTTTATATTCTTTAATACTGGGTTATATGGTTTCAATGTAAAACGTTAATGTTAACCTACTAATTTTTTTCTTGCTTATTTCTTTTTATCTCACAAATTTTACGAAGGTTAAAAGAATTGACGTAAAAAGTCTTTTTTTAAAATATAAAAATTTACGTATCTCTTTTTTGAGTAATAGTCTTCTCTAATTACTTTATTTACGTCTTTCGATAGTACATTTACGTATTTTTGAATAATAATTGATGCTCATTAATTATGATAAAAAAAAAAATATTAAGAAAATAATGACGTGATTCATGTATCTATTAATGTTTATTTAGTATGTATACGAAAGTTTAACATATTTGAATATTCGAATTATACGTGAATAATGACAAAGCGATACCAGTGATACCGTTCATTTATGAAAATTCGAATAAATGTATGCGAAATTTATAGGTTAGTCGGCAAAACGATTTACTGGGCGACACCTTGTTGTTGCGTTCCACTTAACGGTGATCCTGCTCCGTCAACTTTTTAACTCTGTTTAATTCGCTGCCTTCGGCGAAGGGCAACGCATTCACCGCGTTCTCTTTTCTTCCGACATTCTGGTAAAAAGAAAATCTAGGTCGACGCAACAACAAAGGTGGAAAATTTATATTTTCGATCGCTTTTTCGAATAATTTTATATCGACATTTCATCGAACGAAAATCACATTTTGTTCCGACTTCGTGAATCGAAGCGTGACGGAAAATGAATTACATGGAACAAGACGAGATATTATTAGAAAACTATATAAAAACAGTTTGATTGCTACATTGACATGCTTTCTAGCGGACAAACAGCTCTTTCTCTCATGGAAGCTTACGTAATTCTCAACCACGATCTCCCCATATGCTGTCTGTACATACGTACAAGCCAAACCACGATCACACGGGTATTATAGATATTATAGTACGCTTTACGTATCCTTTTTTGCGCATACGCTCCTCGAGCGGAATCGTATCTTCATTTTACGTAAGCTCGGCCAGGAACGCCCATTCAGCTAAGTCTTTCCCCGTTTCACTGTAATTTTCGAACAATATCTTTTTATGGTGCCGATTCACTGTGCTTCCGGTATAAAACCTTGTAATCTTTGGATTCTTATTCACGATATTCATCACGTGATAATTTTGAAAACGTTCAAGGCAAATCGTGGAGAAGAAACTCGCGTTGAGAAAACGTACTCCGCCACACAAATGAACCACGGCGAAACGTTTATAATCGATCGTGGCGCGAAGAAGCGATCGACGCGAAAGGCTATCGATCCCATCTAAGAACGTTGCAAAACAACGATGACCCCTTCTTCCCCTCCCTCTCTCCCTCCCTTTCCCTCGATCGTTTTACACACAGAAGCTTTTACACATCCATACAACCGCGACAGATTCGAAAGCAAAAGCTTGGATTTAATTTCGGCTCGAACGAATTCTCTCGCTGGATTCGCTACCGTGCAATAATTATTATCATTTCTTTCTCCTTGCTTCCTTGTTCCCTACATTGCGCAAGCATCCGGAAGGAGGCGATGCTCTTGCCGCTTGATACATGGTTACAAGTATCCGTTCAGCCCAGGTCAAGCGTGAATCTGACCCAGTAGAATCGCCGTACACGTTGGATCCATCCTGACCCACGGATTAAACAGCAGCCATGTTTTACACGCTTCCTACGGAGACGATTCCCCGCATCGGAGAAAAGGTCACTGCCTCGCGTGAAAGGAACGAGCTTTCATTCATCATTGCGATACGAATACGCAAAGGTTACGATTATTATTATGGTTGAAAATGAAGTTTTGCCTTGAATGCGCTCGAGTGAATTTCGAATCAAAACAGAAGAAGAAACGGAGATCGTAAAAATAGTATCGTGTAGCGCGTGTAAATCTGATTGTGCATTGTATACAATCGAAGTAGGAAGGAACGAAGCTATTTGAAATTTATAAATTATTCTTAAGTAGATCATATAAATAAACAGGAGCTCCGGTTCCACCTTGTTACCAATGTAACAGAGTTGAAAAATCCGACCGTTTTAATCTATAATTGAGATCACATTTGCAATAATTGTTGGAAAAACGATGGATGATAAGCCACGAAAGAAAGAAAGAAAGAAAACAGGCATTTACTATTTGGTAACTTTTTATGAATCATATCGCTATGTACGATAATAACTGCAAGATTCATCTCATTAGTACATTCATAACGTTTTCTTGTTCCCGACATTGCACAAGAAGCCGGAAGCGGCTACGCGGTTTCTTTTCACCGAATGATATACGAGTGCAATCACTTATCGTGTGTACTGAACGGACTAATCCATTTTGGCCAACAAGACGCGCAATGTTCTTCCATTTCATCCGTTCGATCCGAAGATAGTATTATCTTCCTAAATTAATTTTTCGACGTTAATTTTATTACGTTATACCGTATATCGGAATATAATAAAACTCGAAATCACTGTTAAATCCCGCTACGAGATATACGCATTGGCTATTAATACTCGTCAAATACAAATCCGTGACCATAGTCAATAACCTCGCGTCCACGTCGCGTCATATTTCGATAACTTCTTATAATCTCCAATTATGTAATACGGCCGTGCAATTACCGTAAATTATCGGTTTCTTGTTATTCTTCGTTTCTTATTGCAACGGTTCGAATGGGATTACATTTATCGAGATTGAAAAGTCATCTCTCGATTAAAATCAAACCACACGTTTCAAGATGAACGATGAAACATGAAGTTATTCAAATTTACAATATGAACAGAGAAGAAACACACAATTAAATTACGTATTTTATCGTTTATTCGCGTCTAGTATCGCGAAAAATGCTGACGAAATTGCTCGACGAGAACGAGACGGTTGCTACAAATAATAAATCTCTCAGTGAAAATAACGTTTTTCTTCGAGGTTTTCCTGCTTCGTTGATTAAAGAGGCCTTCTCGCGTGCTTGTTACAGCGCAGTCGCATTTTCAGTCAAGAAAATCATGCTTCTTGCAGAATTCTATTCTGCCGTACCGGTATTCGATTATCTTTCGTTAGAAAATTATAATAAAATCAAACAACTGACCTAACGGATTTCATCTTTATCTTCAAAGCTAGTAAACGCAATTTTTTCGTTAATTTCCCTACAAAGATCGTGGAATAATCTCTCTCCCTCTTGTATTAAAACGAACCGAATCCATCCGACTTGCTCGCAGGATGCGAATTACGCGCGAAGGAAATATCTATTTTGCGAGCCGTCTTATTAGCGTTGCTCGAAGAAAAAGACTCGCTTGGTATTTCACCTTTTACCTCGATGCGCCGACCAATCTAGACGATGCCTGTAAATCGAGGAAACTAAATATATATGAACGCGGCATCCTTTACCAATCATTCGGCAAATTTACGAACAACAATTTACTTTCTCTCGGAATCCAACGAGCAAACGAGTTACGAGATCGGTGTTCCATCTTTCTCATTTATCTTATTCCTTTTCGTGGAACGAAAATTATTAGGTTCGTCGTTCTCACTCGCGTCACGGTCAAAATCAACCGATAATTTGTCTTATCGTTTATCTTGATCTCTAACAACGCGCGTATCGATCTTTATCAAGATCCAGAGAAGTTTCTATCCAGTGATTCCAACAGATCCCACGATCTGGTCTATTAACCCATTCAAGATTATGCGGTAAAATAATGCGTAAAAGTTGCGTAAAATCAACACCAGCTCTTAACATTTTTCTCAAGAATAATTTCAAGGTTTCCTCTAGATTCGACCTTTCAAAATTATATCGAATCTATACTACAATTCGAAAAATATGATATTCGATACGTGTCGTTATTATGAAAATTCATTATGAAAATTTTAAAAAACTCATTTTAATGTAAATCGAGTCGAGCATGTATTCTTTATCGGCGCATTCAAGGTTTCACATTAATTATTTCAGTTTAAAAAAATATAACGAGCGTTACCGAAACGTAGTGTTTAAACATTCAAAATTTCTATTTACAGGAATTTAAATAGTTTCTCGTTAAAAAAAAAAAAAAAAGAAATATCAAATACAGCTCTGTTCAAAAATTGCTCATTCCATTCCACAGTAAAAGAGGCTTGGTTATCGAGTATATTATGGGTTATTGAAACTGACCCAGTGATCGATCCCTTCTCTTCCTCCCTCCGTTTGCTAGTATTCGGCGTGACCTAGAGTGCACCGGTGCGACGTAGGTCGTGGCTTGACCCACACACGATCCGTGAATCCTTGTGGACATCGGTGGCGACCGCGAGGCGGGATATAGAAGAGGTTGGTTGGAGAGAGGCGATGCTCACACGTGCACCTCGGGGCATTCACGAGTTGGCAGTCGGCTGTTGAAACCCGCCCGGTGAATGCCTCTCCAGCCTCTCCTCTCCACGTATTTTTATCGACCTTTCGATACACCCATGGGGTTCGCGTACACCGAGGAATTTCCAGGGATGAATTATCGCGCGCGGCTAAATAATTCGTCGATGCTTGCTTCGTGAAAGGATCGAACGTTGTTGAAAACATCGAGCGTTGTAGAAACGTCGACACCAGTGACGCGTGACATCGAAGAAAGTGAAATGCGAATCTATCGTATCGGACAGGAAGCTATCGGAACGGTCCCTGAACTCTGCTCGCCAAGTTTCGCTCGATCTTCGAATCGAATTGCCACAATTTTTCACCATGTTCGTGGAGAGAAATTCAGTGCAATTAAAACGGCGACACGCATCGGCGAGGACCTCATGCGAGACCGTTTGAGCGATCGAATTGTGCAGATATTATGGTTGAACGAGATTGTTTGTGTCTGTTCGTTGTAATGGTAGACATTGTGACAAGCATACCATTAGATGATCGTTGGACCGTGAATTTATTTTGAACCTCGATTGAAAAAAGGATATTCAATCTGCTTGCGAGAAATACGAAGTGCTTACAGTTTGGAAAACGTTTTAAGAGAAAACAGATCTGGCGCAGTGCTACAAATAACTGTTTCAGGGAAGAAAGGGTACGAGAAATCGGTTGCCTTAAACGGAAGAAAAATGTTCTCCTTGTTTTGAACTCGTAATGTAACGTAATAACGGTTTCGACGATTTTTCGCGTGTCAGTGGATCAGTAGGTTCTTTAACCATATCGTTTGATTAGCTTTTTATAAAAATTCGCGGATGAACATTCCACTCCACGTATTCATCGATTAATCAATTTCTGTTTTTCACAACCCAGCATAACGTTTACCATTCAACCATAAACAAATTGATTCGTCCGAGTGTTCATTAGATTCTTATCGCGACAAATTGCTGTGGAGCAATAAAACGATGGTGTCAATTCGATTCGCGCGGCACGGTGCGTGAATCATTCGAAATTCGCGTTGGGACGCCGTTATATTGGTTTGTGAGAAAATTTGCACGACGAAAGGTCTCTAATGTGCCACACAAGAAGATGAATGGTCGTGGACAGTCGCGACAGGACGCGTTTCGAAGAACTTGTTCTTTTCCAACCGAGTGCGCGAACAGGAGCCGTACACGATGGCAGTACATGATGAACAAGTGTGGGAATAGTCGAGTCACCGGCTACAGTGACACTAATCACGTTAACGACACAAGGATAATATGTCGCGTGAAAAGTAGCAAGGACACGTGTACCGGTATCAGTAATGAGACTTTAATTGTACGTGTTCGCATCGAGCGTTTTCTCGTTTTAATGGAAGAAATCTTAATTAAACGAAAATTGAAATTCAACGGATACTTGAAGAGTGGATGCACGTCGTTAATATTACATAATCAAATCCTACTCGTACTTCTGGTGATTAGTACAAATACACGGATGAAAACGTAAAAATCGCTTAAACGATCTTGCGTTGAAGTCAGGAGGTAATTTATCTATTCTACGAGAAGATATGTTAATAAAATCGCATAGAAGAGATTTCAATCTTTTCGCCGGTAGAAAAAGAAGAAGTGCAAGCATAGGCAACTATTTTATAAAAATACACCCTTCGAGAGAGTCGAGCAACCCATAATTACACAAATACGAATACATTTGCAAAGACAAAGACAATGCCGGATGATGTTGGCGAGACATCGTGCGAGAAAAATTCTTCATTGTTCGAGGAATGTGGGCGTATCGAGCAAGATATCTAATCGATAAGAAGAAAAGTCTCTTGAGAGTAAAGAAAATTACAAAAAATATTTTGCACGCAGTGTTATCGTTAATATTTTTTTTTGAACGAGCCAAATTGTAAGAACATACAGAATTTTAGAAAACAATGAAGTAGGAAATAAATGAAGATCTATGCATCTATGTTTCACTTTATATGTGTGTAAAGATTTTCAAAATTTTTCCGGTAATAAAAAAAATTATATTATTAATCGCGAATAAGAATTGAATAAGAAAAATTGAAATATTGAAATTGAATCCTGAAGTTGAAGAATATCGATAGCTGACAAAATGGGAAACACGAGATCGCAACTTTGCCGACGAAGCAAATCACCTTACCTTCTCTACCTTATCCATAGAACATGGAGCATTGTGACCGATCATCGGAAAGATCAAACTCGCTCCGATGATACCGATCGAGAAACTGATTTATCATCGAGATGCAGTGGTTGCAACAGATGTGATTTCGGACAAGACAGTCTTACGTTCGACAGGTAAATCATCTACTGCTATATATAATATAAATTATAAAGAAATAAACTTTTATATATACTAATTACAATATAAATGAGATATCCTATATTTGAATAGAAAATATTAATTTGATTCTTCTAACTATATAAAATCTAAATCGCGATTGCAGCCAATTAGCTCATATTACTTGCTATGTAATTTATAATTGAATTACAGATATTTGTGATTCGATTATAAATTATATATCAAATAATGATGATTGCCCAGGTCTCACCGCGTGGAGGAAGGCTGCGAATAGAGACCCACCCTATCCACGATCCCATCCACCCTCCTTTAACGCAAAAATTTATTTAATATCAATAATAAATCTTCCTTTTGATATACGTTTGCAAAACGTTCATTTTTAACATTTTGCAAAATAAATAGCAAAAGGAGTTTCAAGAAAGACCGACGCGGAAAACTAAACCTGAAAATAAATTACACCTTACAAATTTAAGGATATAACTCTATATAAGACATATTACAAATTACTACTTAGTATATAATGATAAAGATATAAAATATTGATAATTACAAAATAGATAAATATAAAACAAAAAAAAATAAAATATGTCATATACATAGTTATATATATTTTATTGATTAATACCACCACCATAACTACTACTACTATTACTACTACTACTACTACTACTACTACTACTACTACTACTACTACTACTACAACACATGCATGCATTTACATTCTACTTTAAGCAGCAATTTAAGCTCCCCTTAAAATCTATTTATGTCTAAAAATTTTTACTTAAAAATAATCTATCACTTCTTAAATTTAATTAAACTTAAAATTACCCTTCCTGATTATAAATTTAATTTTTTAACCTCCCTGTCTTCAGTAAAACCTACCTAAGTACGTACATCTAAAAAAATTTTAATATTTAGAGAAATAAAGGGGAATTCTATATTATACGAATATAATATTTGTAAACTTTGCATTTATTTTTCTATTTAATAAAAATTTATAGATAGTACCATTCTGTATAAAAATTTTTAAATTTTTTCAAGGAGCCTACCTATAATATTAATATAATTAAGGAGAGGGAAAATAGTATTATATAATGTACAAGTTTTCTTCTATTGATGTTTGATTTCATATTGATTCCATCCGATTTCTGAAACAAATAATAAGACTACAAAATTAGTAAGATTTCATGGAATATTTATAATTAATTCCCAACGATGAATTTCTACTTATATAAAGCTAAATTTTTAATTCTCATCTTTTGGAAAATGAATGGTATTATCTGCCTACTCATAGAAAAAGTTTGGATGGGGATTCTACCTATTTTCAATTGATAATGAATTCAAATTACTACCTACATAGGAGTCAGATTTTTATCTATCGGAAAATTAATGGTACTATCTACCTACCTATAAAAAAAAGTTAAAAATTGGAATCCTATTTCCCATTGACAATGAATTCAAATTTCTACCTACATAAGATTTTATCTATAGATAATTTTTATCTATCGGAATGATATTATTTACCTATAGAAAAAGTTAAAGATTTGCATGGAGATCCTACCTATATAAGAATCTAAATATAATCGAGGAAAAAAAATAGTAGGATATATACTGTATGAAATATATATTTCATTCGATGAATTATACGATGATCTCAGAAACAAATAAGAATTGTTATTTAACTAAAAAATTTAAATAGAGAGCCTACCTATAAAAAAAATCTAAATATAATCAAGAGAAGGGAAAGGATTAATAAAAAGAAATATGTGTCCTCGATGAATTACACAATAATTTCAGAAATAAACAAAATCACAAAAAATTATTCCATATGTAAAAATTTATAGATCTGTTTAGGGGAGTCTAGGTACAAAAGAATTTAAAAATAATTAAAAAAAGGGAAAGAGTAATCTTTAAAATATAATCTTCTTCGATTGACCACATTCTGCAAAATAGTCCCTAGAACAAATTAAATTATAAAAAATTATTAAATAAATTACAAAAAAATTGTACTTCTTTGAGATATTAATAAATATTGATAAATGCATACCTTTTTGAATAAATATATCTAAAACAAATTTATTAATTAAATTAATAATTAAAAAAAAATTAATATTATGAAAAATATATATACCTAATTGATGCTTGCTGTAGATAAATATACCTGAAACAAACTTATTTAGTGAATTAGTAATTAATTAAAAAAAATTAATTAATTAGAAAAAATTTAATATTGTAATAAGTATATACCCAATTCATACTTTCTATGAATAATCATATCTGAAACAAATTTATATGATAGATTAATAGTAATAATTATTAGCTAATAATTAATAATTAAGAAAAAATTGATTCTGAAACAAAATTTTATATATATATATATATAAAATAAATATTTACAAATTTTATTATTAAATAATTTTAATTATTTAAAGATGAGCAATTAATATTTTGGAAAATTTTTAATAATAACTATGAATGAATCAAAAAATTTTTTTTTAATACTAAGATGAAAAAAAAGATTATTTTATTAAGAAATTATTTCATTTATTAATTCTGAGAAATTTAAAATTTTTCTCGTAAAATTTTTTATTAAAAAACAGATAATAATCATGAATGAATTTTGATTTATACAAATAAAATTTATTTATAAAATTGATTTATTTTATTGCTGAAAAGTTAAAGTAATTTATATTTAAAAAAATCTGATAATATCATTAAAGAGAAATGTATAGCAGTATTTTCTATAACAAATAGTGTGGGACGCTGAAAAAGAAATGTTTAAATAGTAGCCAGAAGGGCCACTAAAATACAAATATTTTCCACTCAATATAAAACCGAACAAACCGTGAGTGGAATATCCATTTTTATCGCAACACTAATAAACTATAAATTTTTAAAATCAAACGCGATGAGTGCTTCAATATATTTGCAATGTTAATTTATAAATAATAAAAAACAAAAAAAACAAAAAACAAAAAATTAAAAAATTCACGGTATTAATTATACGCAACACTAATAATAATATTACTCTATGCACTCAATTTCAATAGACGCAACACTAATAGCGTAATCCAATGCAGTCTCTTCTTAATGACTGCTGTCGTTGTAGTCATTCATGTAGCATTTTTAGCTACACCAGATGATTCAGGAACAAAAGCTTCCACAATTCTCGTGGAAAGTTGGGCATTCAGTATTCGCAACACTACATCAGCAAACGCGATTATTTTTAAACGCAACACTAATTGAAAAATAATATAAACAATCGCGGTATAACGTGTTTGCAACATTAATTTAAAAAAAAATTTTTAAAAATTACTACTCTTTATGAAGTTATAATTTAATAGCAAATGATATTAATTTTAATATTATTCTATTTAGAAATTATAATAATTTATATTTGATGAAAAACAATGTTTAATTATAATACAAACGCGATTTTTATTTTAACGCAACACTAACTCAATTAGTTTTTCATAATACTAAAAAAAAAGCTATAAAATTATTTCGCAACTCTAATTCAACCCGTATTTAATAAATCGCAACACTAATACAAAATCGCGATATGCCCATAATGACTGGAACTTTATGATGGGCCGGCATGCAATCGGCCAAATAATATGACAAATACTACATATTACTAAAACGAGACACAGTGACAAAGTAGTAACAATGACTTCCCATCCTTTAGATCCAAAAAAGATCTAAAAAATGAGTAGCCATTCGTTGCAGCCCTCTTCGTGACAGTTTGTCGGGCCTCTTCGGTCTTCCTCCTTCGGGCGCAATGCCCGCTGAAACTTAAATCTAGGCTCGAAATTCACTAATCGAAGATCAAAGAAAAAAAACAAAAAAAAAAGTCTAAATCGCGAAAGCTAGTGCACATGGCCGAGCAACGATCGTAGCAATCGCTGTCCGTACAAGTGCAGAATTTCGAGCACCAACGTTCGTTTCGAACCACTCGCGACCGCGACCGCGAAAATTCGAAAAATCGATAAATAAAACCGAATACGAGAGGCATGCTCCACTCGTTCCAGCTTTAGCTTCGATTCTTCAAATTAGATTTCCTGAAACAGATTGCCACGCGAAAACGCGCCTACCCGACCAGAGACTGTGGCAACCTGCCCGGCCCTACCTACTTATAATTAACATTCACACCAGAAAGTATTCTACCTATCCTACCTAACCCTATATTTAAAAAATGGCAAAACAGGCATACCAACACATTCATTCTACGATTTTCACACATAATACTCGGGTGCAAAAGCCTACACTAGGGAAAACGTCCCGGGACGCCTCCGACACCCGAGCTTGGCACACAACTCGCATACTCTAACTTTACGTACCATTTTCCTGAAATCGACTGACGATGACTAGCGACCATTGCGTGAAATAAGTGTATCTTAATTTGAATTATAAATATTTATAAAGGAAACAATATATCTTTTTAAAAGCAATTAAATTAATATATTAATATTAATAAATTTAATATCATTTTTGTAATTTAAAATGTAATAATTATATAATATTGCATATGAGTTGTTGTAATAAGATTAACATTTCTGAATTAATATTTTAAATATTTCAAGTTATATCGAGTTATGAAATGATAAATGAAACGACGCAATTCCACAGCCTAACCACACACACATAATGTGGAAAATACGTCGTGCACGATACGCTAATGCATCATCAGTCGCTAAAGAAATTTCATTAGCTTATGAACTAAGATCATCATGCCTACCGCCTTTCCCTCACCCAAGTAGCACCTGGGCACGTGAATGAGGTCCTGGCAATTGACACGGAAGGGATTAAATCTGAAAATCCTGAGCTAAAAAACAATATTAAAGTATCTATTTTTTATTTAACGAACTAATGTTTTTCAATTCATTATATATTCATTTTATTTTAAACTTTAATAAAATTTATTTTATAAAATTTGTTTCAATAAAATTTAATGAATTATTATTACAATTTTAAAAATTGAAAAATATATAAGCAATGAACAAAAAATTTATTTATTTATTTAAATTTATTTATATAAAAAAGATTTTTATATGATTAATAATAAAAGATAATTGATTCTAATGGAAATATCCTCAGGCGATTTCTTCATCAAAACATTTTCGAAAATGTAAAAAATTCAAAAGTTATTGCTCTGATTCCAAAATCTACCTGTCGCGAAATGTCTTCTTGCACGTATTTCATACATTTTTATATGCAGAAAATAGAAAAAAAATAGAATATCTTTATATTTCAAAATCATATTTAATTTTATAATACAGAATTAAGAAAAAATTGAAAATTGTTTATCATTACACTGATAGTAATAATATATTATTATTATTATTATTCTAATTGAAATTTTCATTAACGAAGTCGGAGGATATCCGACTTCTACACTAATATGATATCTATTTAATTAAAATCATTTCGATATTTTTTGTTTATTTAAATATTCGTATTTCATTAAAAAATATATATTCATACGGTTATTTGATTTATATATTAAATATATCTTTATTTTATAAGTAAACATATTTTGAGTTACAAATATTCAAACCATTAATTTACATATTTTAATTATTGATATTGTATTAAAACTTCATTGATATAAAATCAATATTATTTTATTAAAAACGCGATGTGCAAGAAAACCTATCCTAATCTAATAAATAAAACACACAAAAAAGCAATGTTACTACTCACGAGTATAATAAATACCCGCGGTCACTGTGCTCGTGCAAAATTTCTACGTATACAACCAATCACTCGTGTCGATTCGGATCTTTCATCCTACGACATGGTTGAATGACCGGAGGAACCAAAAAACATGCGACTCACCATACGATGCGACGAATCCCCTCACTGTTATTGTAGCCCAGAAATCATCGAGAAGTCATCAGGTAGGAGAGAATGGAAGAAATCTGTGACAAAACATCATAATTTAAAACACGGTTCTAATTGAAAAAAATTAAAATACGAAAACTATTAAATATGTAATATGTAATAATGATATTGAAATTCCAGTTAACTTCTATTTAGAAGAATAAAAATTTAATAGATAAAAAAAGAATAATTACCTCTTCGCGTGATGGATGATCGCCTTATTCTCTTGAGAAAAACACTGACTCTACCCTGTACCGAAAACGAATATTTAAAAATAAAAAAAAAATAAAAAATAAGGAACTATTAACGTGTCAGTATAAATTATAATCGGCGAACAAACACTGATTCTATCTTCGCGTTTGATTATTATAATTAAATTTAATCAGAGCTATTGTGCTCTAAAAAATATTTAAAATACTATGACGAAGCAAACACTGACTCTAATATATATTAAATATATCTTTATTTTATAAGTAAACATATTTTGAGTTACAAATATTCAAACCATTAATTTACATATTTTAATTATTGATATTGTATTAAAACTTCATTGATATAAAATCAATATTATTTTATTAAAAACGCGATGTGCAAGAAAACCTATCCTAATCTAATAAATAAAACACACAAAAAAGCAATGTTACTACTCACGAGTATAATAAATACCCGCGGTCACTGTGCTCGTGCAAAATTTCTACGTATACAACCAATCACTCGTGTCGATTCGGATCTTTCATCCTACGACATGGTTGAATGACCGGAGGAACCAAAAAACATGCGACTCACCATACGATGCGACGAATCCCCTCACTGTTATTGTAGCCCAGAAATCATCGAGAAGTCATCAGGTAGGAGAGAATGGAAGAAATCTGTGACAAAACATCATAATTTAAAACACGGTTCTAATTGAAAAAAATTAAAATACGAAAACTATTAAATATGTAATATGTAATAATGATATTGAAATTCCAGTTAACTTCTATTTAGAAGAATAAAAATTTAAATAGATAAAAAAAGAATAATTACCTCTTCGCGTGATGGATGATCGCCTTATTCTCTTGAGAAAAACACTGACTCTACCCTGTACCGAAAACGAATATTTAAAAATAAAAAAAAATAAAAAATAAGGAACTATTAACGTGTCAGTATAAATTATAATCGGCGAACAAACACTGATTCTATCTTCGCGTTTGATTATTATAATTAAATTTAATCAGAGCTATTGTGCTCTAAAAAATATTTAAAATACTATGACGAAGCAAACACTGACTCTAATAACCGCATTGCGCGCGGTCAAAAATAATTAAATTTGAAGTCCAATCAGTTATCAGCATCTTTAATAAAAACATAAAATATTATATTAAAAATTTTTTTAACTGTAAATTCTATTTATTATTTAAAAATTTTTGAAATAATGAAAAATGGAACTTGATAAAATTTTGAACTTTAATAAAAATAAAAATTAGAAATAAAAAATAATATAATATATAGATATACAAAGAACAATTACCTCTTCGCATGATGGATGATCGCTTATATTGATGAGAGAAGCACTGACTCTAACCTGTACCGAAAACGAAAATTTAATAAAAAAAAAATAAAAATAAGAAGCTATTAACACGTCCGTTCATGTTGAATAATCGGCGTACAAGCACTGATTCTACTTTCGCGTATAATTATTATAATCAAATTTGTGAGCTATTGTGCTCTAAAAAATATCAGAAATACTATTACGCAACAAACACTGACTCTAATAACCGCATTGCGCGCGGTCAAAAATAATTAAATTTGAAGTCCAAGCAGCTATTAATATCTTTAACAAAAAATATGAAATATTATATTAAAAATTTTTTTAAAAGTAAATTCTATTATTTAAAAATATTTCAAATAATAAAAAACAGAATTCGATAAACTTTGAATTTAAAAAAAAAAAAAAATCAAAATTAAAAAAATAAATTATAAAAAAATATATAAAAATAATTACCTCTTCATGTAAGAGAATCCAATATAGGCAAGGGTAGAGCAAAAAAAAAATTTTTTTCTTCTTTTTTCTAGGTAAAAATTTGTTGAAGAAAATACTGCTATTTTTCTAAAATTATTAGCTTTCTGCTTAAATATAAATCTAAATTTATATATGAAATCGTCAAATTATTTATAAAATATTTAACAATATATTGAAAAAAACTTTTTAAAATTAATTTAATAATATTGGAAATCAAAATTTCCAAAATAATAAAAAATAGACGTAATTTCTTTAATCCCTTTTAATTCCATCTTAGTATTTTAAATAAAATATATAATTTATAATAGTTATATTGAATATCAATTATATATTCTGAATAATTCATCAAATATATACATATATATATATATTAATAAAAGTAAAATAATATGCACACACATATATATACGTATATATATATATATATTAAATGTTATTATTAATAATTAAAAAGATATAAAAGATAAAAGAATAAAAAATTACAAGAAATATTATTATTAATAAAATAATAAATCATATACATACGTCTATTTTATTATAATAAATTGAATATTACCATGCATCCAAAAAGAGTATCCAATAAGTATTTGAATTGATCAATCAACATGGCTTCCAATTTTGAAGTGGCGTCTCTTCTTCGAAGTTATATGTAATTGTAATAATCTGTAAAAGAAAATCAAATCTTTATAATAAATGTATGAAATATATAGATTATTGTATCAAAAAAAAAGCAAAAATCAAATTTAAATTTTATTTTGCAAACTCATAATAAAAGCTACTGATAATTACAAATTCAATATACAATAAACAATATTCAATATTCAATATACAATATATGATAAATTAAAAGAAAAAGAAATAAATTATTTATCAATCAACAAATTATAGAATAGACGTATATTAATGAGTAAAAACATGCGAAAAGTGAAAAAATAACGGAAATATTGAGTAATAGAAAAATTACGCACCTGATGAAAAGTGACACAACTTATCCCCATGACTTTCGATAGCACAATGACATCATCTCGTCGCGTGACCGCCTTTTATACAAATTGGAGTGGGGAGAAAAATTGTTTCAGGAGCCAATCAGAACGCGTCCAGCATCAATACAAACTGTCAAATTGTTGAAAATTTTTAAAAAAATGTTTTTGCCCTCCGAAAAATAAATAATACAAAAACGTAAATAGAATGTTATAAATAAATAGACAATATAAAAATACATGAATTTTAAAAATATTACGCATAAAGTTAATGATACAGATTAAAAATAAAATTGATTAATGAGTACAAAATATAATAAAATAAAACCACTCAGACATTTCATATATGGAATACAATTATATTTTTAAAAAATATTTGTATTCTGAATATTTATTTCATTCTTTTATTTTATTTTATTTATACATCAATCATATTATTATTTATATAAATTATTAATATATAACAAAATACAAGAAACGGAAGATAATTCGAATAGATCGAATTAATAAAAAGGTGTACCATTGCACCAATCATAGACAAGCATACTTTTGCTTGAACTTCATTGGTTCAGCGTTACTTCCTAAAAAGTTATAAATAGGAGACAACATTTATTTCTCGTTCAGTTCCACATCTCGACACCTGTTGGCAGTTTGCTATATGTTATTATACGAATTTGTTTTATCCTTTTATTTATAGCTACGTCAATCATATTATTACTTGTACAAATTATTATTATATATCAAATGCTAGAATCAAGAGAAAATTAGAATTAATCGAAATCGAAAAAATAAATGCTCAACTATTTTAATAACAGACGTGCATTTGTTTGAATCTCATAAGTTTTTAGTGTTTTAGTTATTTAGTGTTACTTCTTTATATTGATGTAGGTTATAAATTAGGTTAAAAATGATGTGATGTAGGTTAAAAATATTTGATATTTGTTTCTTGTTTAATACAACACCTAAGAAATGACAAAGACTGTATGTTGCTATATATAATATGTTTTATCCTTTTATTTAACTACGTCGATCACATTATTTATACAAATTATTATTACATATCAAATGCTGGAATCGGTAAAAAATTGGAACAGATCGAAAAAATAAATGCACATTTGTTACAATGACAGACATGCATTTGTTTAAGTTTAAATAGTTTAGTTTGCTTTATAATGTTAATATAGGTTATAAATATTCGGCAACATTTATATCTCGTTCAGTTCAATATCTATCGATATCTCAAAGATTTTTGCTGTATTTTATATAAATACTTGTTTCATTCTTCTATTGATAGATGTATCAATTACATTATTATTTATATAAATTATTAATATATAACAAAATACAAGAAACGGAAGATAATTCGAATAGATCGAATTTAATAAAAAAGGTGTACCATTGCACCAATCATAGACAAGCATACTTTTGCTTGAACTTCATTGGTTCAGCCGTACTTCCTAAAAAGTTATAAATAGTGGACAACATTTATTTCTCGTTCAGTTCAACATCTCGACACCTGTTGGCAGTTTGCTATATGTTATACGAATTTGTTTTATCCTTTTATTTATAGCTACGTCAATCATATTATTACTTGTACAAATTATTATTATATATCATATGCTAGAATCAAGAGAAAATTAGAATTAATCGAAATCGAAAAAATAAATGCTCAACTATTTTAATAACAGACGTGCATTTGTTTGAATCTCATAAGTTTAGTGTTACTTCTTTATATTGATGTAGGTTATAAATTAGGTTAAAAATGATGTGATGTAGGTTAAAAATATTTGATATTTGTTTCTTGTTTAATACAACACCTAAGAAATGACAAAGACTATATGTTGATATATATAATGTTTTATCCTTTTATTTAACTACGTCGATCACATTATTTATACAAATTATTATTACATATCAAATGCTGGAATCGGTAAAAATTGGAACAGATCGAAAAAATAAATGCACATTTGTTACAATGACAGACATGCATTTGTTTAAGTTTAAATAGTTTAGTTTGCTTTATAATGTTAATATAGGTTATAAATATTCGGCAACATTTATATCTCGTTCAGTTCAATATCTATCGATATCTCAAAGATTTTTGCTGTATTTTATATAAATACTTGTTTCATTCTTCTATTGATAGAGGTATCAATTACATTATTATTTATATAAATTATTAATATATAACAAAATACAAGAAACGGAAGATAGATTCGAATAGATCGAATTTAATAAAATAGGTGTACCATTGCACCAATCATAGACAAGCATACTTTTGCTTGAACTTCATTGGTTCAGCTTTACTTCCTAAAAAGTTATAAATAGGGGACAACATTTATTTCTCGTTCAGTTCCACATCTCGACACCTGTTGGCAGTTTGCTATATGTTATTATACGAATTTGTTTTATCCTTTTATTTATAGCTACGTCAATCATATTATTACTTGTACAAATTATTATTATATATCAAATGCTAGAATCAAGAGAAAATTAGAATTAATCGAAATCGAAAAAATAAATGCTCAACTATTTTAATAACAGACGGGCATTTGTTTGAATCTCATAAGTTTAGTGTTACTTCTTTATATTGATGTAGGTTATAAATTAGGTTAAAAATGATGTGATGTAGGTTAAAAATATTTGATATTTGTTTCTTGTTTAATACAACACCTAAGAAATGACAAAGATTATATGTTGATATATATAATGTTTTATCCTTTTATTTAACTACGTCGATCACATTATTTATACAAATTATTATTACATATCAAATGCTGGAATCGGTAAAAATTGGAACAGATCGAAAATAAATGCACATTTGTTACAATGACAGACATGCATTTGTTTAAGTTTAAATAGTTTAGTTTGCTTTATAATGTTAATATAGGTTATAAATATTCGGCAACATTTATATCTCGTTCAGTTCAATATCTATCGATATCTCAAAGATTTTTGCTGTATTTTATATAAATACTTGTTTCATTCTTCTATTGATAGAGGTATCAATTACATTTATTATTTATATAAATTATTAATATATAACAAAATACAAGAAACGGAAGTTAATTCGAATAGATCGAATTTAATAAAATAGGTGTACCATTGCACCAATCATAGACAAGCATACTTTTGCTCGAACTTCATTGGTTCAGCTTTACTTCCTAAAAAGTTATAAATAGGGGACAACATTTATTTCTCGTTCAGTTCAACATCTCGACACCTGTTGGCAGTTTGCTATATGTTATTATACGAATTTGTTTTATCCTTTTATTTATAGCTACGTCAATCATATTATTACTTGTACAAATTATTATTATATATCAAATGCTAGAATCAAGAGAAAATTAGAATTAATCGAAATCGAAAAATAAATGCTCAACTATTTTAATAACAGACGTGCATTTGTTTGAATCTCATAAGTTTAGTGTTACTTCTTTATATTGATGTAGGTTATAAATTAGGTTAAAATGATGTGATGTAGGTTAAAATATTTGATATTTGTTTCTTGTTTAATACAACACCTAAGAAATGACAAAGACTGTATGTTGCTATATATAATATGTTTTATCCTTTTATTTAACTACGTCGATCACATTATTTATACAAATTATTATTACATATCAAATGCTGGAATCGGTAAAAAATTGGAACAGATCGAAAAAATAAATGCACATTTGTTACAATGACAGACATGCATTTGTTTAAGTTTAAATAGTTTAGTTTGCTTTATAATGTTAATATAGGTTATAAATATTCGGCAACATTTATATCTCGTTCAGTTCAATATCTATCGATATCTCAAAGATTTTTGCTGTA